AACAGCCCAGGCCCAAAGTTCAGGCCCCACGACTGACAAAAAAAAGAAAAAGAAAAAAGGTAATAACCTCTTTGTTTTTAAAAGACAGGTTATACGATCTTTGAATTAATAGCAAATGAGCATTATTTCCCTTTCCTTACAGAATACATGACATTAATGAATACTCAAAACTGACAATTACCATTCAACAAATTTTACTGAGTTCGAAACTCACATTAAACTTTGTACCTTTTTATCTTAAAAAAAAAAAAGCAACTTCAAAACTGAGAGTAGTATATGGGAAGTCATTGGACTTAAACCAAAATGTTTACTAAAAGAAAAAGAAATCATATGAACTAACACTGTAAATAATCAATGTTCTGTATAAAGTATGAATGAAGTGCAGAAACTGCTTAATTTATGGGGTCATATTTCAATGAAAACAACACAACTGAAATTATGAAGTCCGCAGTGCATTATTTTGGTGCTGATCCTGAGGCTTGAAATCAGGGCCTAGCAGCTATCCCTGAGTTTTTGTGCTTGAGGTTAGTACTCTACCACTTGAGCCACAGTTCCACTTCCAGATTTTTGGTGGTTAATTGGACTTGAACAGTGATACTCAGATCTCAGCCTCCTGAGCAGCTAGGACTGTGGCGTTAATACATCTAATCTACTGATTACCACAAGCTTAGCTTAATATGCCTTAACACTTACTCTGTGTGAAACAGTATAATTCAATGAATATTGTACCAAAAGCAAAAAAGTTTGGTTAAGCCAATACCAATGGCTCAAAACTTGTAATCCTAGCTACTCAAGAGGGTAAGCTCTTAAGAATTGCAGTTTGAAGCCAATCTAGGCAAGAAAGTCCATGAAAGTTTTATCTCCAATTAATCACACACACACACACACACACACACACACACACAGTGTGGCTGTATGGTACAACTATACAATTTTTTGACCTTACAATGGTACAAAAGCATAGTTGTAACATACAAAAATCAAAAAATTGTTAAGGCAAACCATTCCACGATGCGGACTACATGTATCTAAAAGTAAAATGACCAAACAACTTCAGGCAGATTTTTTTTTCCTCTATTACTTGTGGTCAATATAACATGAGAAAATCATATAAATAGTGCTAAAACCAAAACCAAGAATTTCAATCTGATCCTTTTAGACTTCAGGATAAAAAAAACTAAGGCTCTTCTCTTTTTCCTATTTCTTTCTCTAACCTCCAGTAATTTAAGTGCTGCTTTAAAAAGCTGTTGTAACATAGACATTAATATGAAGGAGTTCCAAGTAGGCAAACTGGGTACAATTTTAGGATCAAAAATAAGCCTTGGCACTAGGGCTCACACCTGTAATCCTAGCTACTCAGGAAGCTGAAATCTGAGGGTCACAGTCTGAAGCCAGCCCAGGCAGAAAGTCCATGAGACTTTTATCTCCAATTACCCACCCTAAACCCAGAAGTGGAGCTATGGCTCAAAGTGGTACAGAGCTAATCTTGAGCATAAAAGCTCAGGGGACAGCGCCCAGGCCCTGAGTTCAAGTCCATGACTGACAAAAAAAGGAAAAGAGAAAAAAAAAAAGATTATGTCTCTCACATAAAGGCTTAAAATATAGCCATTATCCTCTAAATCTATTCATTTGTAATAAAGATGACAAAATCCATGAGTCACCTTCCAAGATTGAGAGGGCATTAATTTTTCTGAAAGTCAGAAAATAAAACATCCTAACTTTTTTTTTGGGGGGTCCGGTCATGGGGCTTGAACTCTGGGCCTGGGCACTGTCCCTCAGCTCTTCAGCTCAAGGCTAGTGCTCTATCACTTGAGCCACGGCGTCACTTCCGGCTTTTTTCTTTTTGCTTATGTGGTGCTGAGGAATCGAACCCAGGGCCTCATGCATGCAAGGCAAGCGCTCTACCACTGAGCCGCCTTCCCAGCCCTATCCTAACTTTTATATAAACTGTCTTTCATAGTAAACTCACAAGTCATGAGGAAAAGGAAAAAAACAAATATTTAGGCAATCATCAAGGGACTATGTGAGCAATCTTATAATGAAGACTATTCAATGTGTTTCCTGGTACAGTTCAGTAGAAAGTACACAAACAGAAACATCAATGAGTTTCCTGGTGTAGTTCAGTAGAAAGTATACAGAAATATATCTAGTCAAAATAAGCTGGCCAAGCCAACACCATCCAACCAAGTTGACAGAAATTCATTTACAGCCAGACACTGGTGACTTAAACCTACAATCTTAGCTGAGTTGCCAAGAAGGCTGAGATCCAGAAGATAATGGTTTGAGGTCAGCCTGGGAAGAAAAGTTTTGAAACTCCATCTCCAAAATAACCAGCCAAAGGCTATCCCTGAGTTCAAACTCCAGTGGAAGGGAAGAGGTAGGCATTGCATTTATAAGAAATATAAAGCACACATTGAATGGCACCACTGGGAAACAACAGGCAAGACCAAGAATGTGGAACAAACTTTCCTCAACAAATAAGAAATAAAGATGAAGGAAAAACCAAGATTAAAAGACATTTCAAACAATGCAACATACGGAACTTATTTGGAATGAATTCAAACAAAACTATGAAGATATCTGAATCATTTAGGGAAATTTGGTTTGAAAAGAAATGAATTTAAAAAGTATGATGATACTGTGGTTATTTTTTAAGAAAAGGATTACCTTCGAAATTACCTATGTCCCAGTCTCCTGAGTAGTTAGGATTACAGAAGTGGGCCACTAGTACATGGTTCATACTCACTTTTGAGACAAGATTTTTCCAAGTGTCTCAGGTAGCCTAAAACTTGTGATCACCTGCCTATCCATCAGAGTAAAAGTAGCCCATCCTACTGAGCATGGTTCAGAAGTTAACTGTATCCTGTGGCTTGATAAACTTAATATCTGCACTGAATAATTTTTTTTAAAAACGCAATCTACAAATTTCATTGCTATACTTTACCATATCAGTAAGTCTTGAAGTACTCAAGAGAAAGAGATCTATTTCAAGGATACAGAGAACTTAAACTGTATTTTTCAAGATTAGAAAGCATGGAAGCCTCTCACCTCATGACTTAATCATAGAGTAAGTATAGACTAGATTCTTTTCATGAATGGTTTGCAAGGAGAAAATTCATGTAATCTTAGTTATTTTCAACCTGGCAGGCACTAATGTGTTTATACTGTTAAGTCACATTACAGCCAGAGCTAAAAGAAATTGGGTTAATCACAAAGGAAAACACAGGTAATTATCAATTCAAAAAATAACACAAACTAAAGCTACACTAAGGAATTTAGCTAGGGAAACAAAAGTTTTAGGCTAACAGCTGAATACCAGTGGCTCATGCCTGTGATCCCACTACCTTAGAAGGCTGAGACCTGTAGGATGGCAGTTCAGACAAAAAGCTGAGCTGGAAGGAGCGGTGCAAGTGGTAGAGCATCAGCTAAAAGCAAGAAGACGAGCAAAAGAGAAAGACAGAGAGCTATAATTTCAAGCCCTGGTACTTGCACAAAAGATAACAAAAATACAAAAGTATTAGGCTATCTCATGTAGAATGAACTGCTGGTTCAATTGGTTATTATTTCTAGTAACTGATTAGAATTCCTCCTCTAGACAAGTATTGGGCCAGATTCTTTATGGTCAAAAGGAAAGTAAAGCATATATCTAGATTGTGGCTTAACTACAGTTTTTTACAAAGCAATTTATATCCAATTTCTGCGCAAGTTGTGTAAGACAACGCCATTTATAAAGGTTCTAACGCATAACACAAGCTGTTAGCAGTTGAACAAAAATCTGGTCTGCCACTTACCTATGAAAAGATAACAGGACACAACAAATATAATCTTAACAATAAAACACAAAACTATTGTGATGTATTAGGTCTCCTATGTTTCAGTATTTTGTATCCATTTCAAAGATGTTAGGAAGTGTGTTGGTGGTTTCATTAGTAATAGGCAGCAATGGAGTAACTCTTGTGACTGACATAACTGAACTTGTAACACTAAAAAGCTAAGCATGTTTGCTAAATCTGTAATACTGAAAAGCAGACTTTAGCATCCTATCTGAATAAATGTATTAGTTGTACATGTTCAGCATACCCCCAAAAGCAAGTATTTCTCAAAGAGTAAAGGTCCAGAAGAATTTGGATTAAAGACTCCTCTTTAAAAGAAACAAATCTAAATGATAATCCATACAAAAGATACCTTTTGTTATATGGACATTTACTGCACCAAAGTGTTTGAGACTTTCCTAACCACATATTTGGGGGGTTTGGAGTTAAACAGAATGGAAGCCTCATCTGATTTGCCTATCTACTTACAACAGCATTATTACTTAAAAAAAGTCACATCCTAGTTTAGTTTTTTCCAACTCATAAAAGTCAGCGAGTGAATCCATCAGTTTCAATTGTAAACAGAATTATAAAAATTCAAAATCAAGTTTAGTAAAATAATCTCTTTGATGGAGATAGGGATTAATATATAGCCTCTAATGTCAACAAACCCTTTGAAAGATACTGTTTTCTTCATGGACAAGTATTTCCCAGAGAAGAACCTATTTTACAATAGGACGTGGGAACACTTTAAAATACAGATATAAACAAAAGTTCCAAAGGCTCCAAACAAACCTAAAACACTTCTCTTCTCCTGTGCAGTTAAAATGTTTTTCTCACAATGTGTAAAAAGTTTGATAGTGAAATTTCTCTTTCACTATCATGTATAAATAGTTGACTTTTCAGATGTTCTAACACACACAAATCAAAAGCACAGACAAGAAAAAACACACCATTGCATTTCATAAAAGCAACATAAAATACAATAAGGGGTCTTTTTACCTTACTGTACATTAGACCCTCAGTTTGAATTTTCAGGAAAGTAGAACTTTTCGAAAGGCTAATATCTAAAAGCAAAAGCAATCTGGCATGTTTTATCCAACATCAAATATTTTACATATATTATAAACACACAAACACACATACATGTATACATACAAATAAAAAGGGTTTCGGTTTGTTTTTTACCTAAATGCAAACTGGATGAGGATCCATGTGATGAAAGTGATGGCGGTGGCGTAAGTGAATGTCCTGGAGTTTGGCTTGGCAGAGGCATGCCTATTGGACTTGGAGAGGAGGAAAATCCCAGACTATTGTAAAATGGTTGCCCTATGGGTGCTAGGCTGCTACTAGATCTTTTGTACATGTCAGAGCTAGTAGATAGAGACTCTCTCCTTGTGGCACTACTACTTGCAGAACTGCCAACTGAAGAAGAAATAAAAAAAACCCTAATTACATACAGTGTTAACTGGATAAAACCTATCCCCAACTCTTGCTGGGCAATACAGAAGAGATCACAATAATTATTTTTAGAAACATTATGGAGATAATTACTGTGATAACTATATATACTAATTTATTAATCATAAAAGGGTATAAATGCACCCCATTAAAATCTTTACTTAACAGTCATCATATTTTTCATTATGTCACACATATTTACCATTGATACATATGATTACTGTGCTTTAATACCCTGCTATGATTTATAAACCCTGAAATTGCAAGTTGTGTGCTTTCAGAAATGCTACATTAAAACCCAGTAAGGTTAACTTTGGCATATTACTCTAATCTCTGCAACTTAGTTTTTAGACTTCAACTCAATGCCAAAAAAGATTATACTAACAAATGGAATAACACATTTCTTTCACCATTCACATTCAATTTCTGTGTTTAAGACCTAAGTCCATATTGGTCCGAATATCAGTTGAGAAATACAAATGGGAACGAACTCAGTATTTTTCATATATATATATATATATATATATATATATATATATATATGTATGTATGTATATATATATATATGTATGTATGTATGTATATATATACACA